GATATACACTATGTCTAGATACATAGTAAAAATAATGTATTTCGAAAAGCTAAAATGTCTTATAATTTAGAACATAGGCAATACCTGCTTATTTTTTCATGAAAAAAACGAACCTATTTATTAAAAAATCCTGAACAATTATTTTCTCAACAGATGCTGGAGCGTTTAAATGCCACACTACCAGTTTCTTTCAGTTTATTTCAGCTTATTCTCTCTCACAGAACATTATTGAATCATCCAAAATCAGCCGAAATCATCCGAAAGTGGATTAGCCGAACAGGCCAATTGTGTCCCCGACGAGAAAGCTCAGGCATGCTTGTTAATCTCCCCTCCTGGTCAGGCTTGAGCTTGAGCTAGGCACCTTCTTTTTATCGAAGTAGCGACTAAGCTATTGTTGGCTAACCTTGTTGTTTGAGATTTGACCAATGGAACTTTTAGAATCGATATAGCCCCACTAGTTGCTTAGAATTTATATTTTTTACAAGTTGTCAATATCTGTGCAACATTGCTGATATCTTGGTTTCAGAGTAGACAACAATACTATGTATCTAGATTTATATTTTTATTAGAACTTTCGAGTTTCTAATAATATTGATCCAACAGAACATTCAAAACCTAGATTTTTAAAAGCCTTTTGCTTTAATTTTCTACTAAGTTTGAGATTTTTGAAAACTTTTTTTTTGGAAAAATTAGCAGGAGCACTGCTATATATGTCATATAAGAAGGAAGCAAATCCAGTTTACAGAAGATATTATATGTCATACATTAAGGTGATCACTCGAACACAGAAACTTGAAACCAAATAAACGATATTCATGAAGGTAAATCTAGTTTCCCAGTTGTAGAAAGTGAGAATGGGAGCCAACACCTTGGTGTATTGATCTCAATGTGTATGTATAGTACATCAGGGAGGTTGCGGCTTGTGCAAACCGTCCCGTTCTACAGCCGGCGCACGTCATGCGCGTGGTGACCGCGCTCACTGCCTCTGGCAGTTTACAGTCATGGTGAAACTCTACACCAAATACTATCTATCTGAAGATACCCACTTCTTACTTGATCAGCCCCAACACCTGGGCCGGTGCTCGTGTTGTCCCCTCAAGTTCTCCGATTGCGCTCTTTCCAGATATTCCAGGCCGAGTACATCAAGATGGCTGCCGTTGTTTTTTGCTGGGTTGCTGATCTCCCCTGCATTGACTTCTCCCACCAAGTTTGCAATGTCTGCACATCCTCATCAATGCCACAATATGTTCTCCAACCCAATTTTTAACAAGCACCCAAACTTCCTTTGCAAAGGGGCAGTGAATGCAAAGATGAACCGCTGTTTTCGCTTCCTAGTCACAGAGCGAGCAAACTGGATTGCATGGTCAATGTCTCAGTGCCAATTTATCGGCCGTTAGAATTTTTGCCTGCACCAGTGGCCACGCGAAAATTTTTAGTTTTCCTTCAGCATGAGCCTTCCAAATTGAATTCGCCAAAATAGTTGTATAAGATCCCTTAAACTGCGCCAGGTATGCAGACTTGGTAGAGTAGTTACAATCCGCTGTCCACCTCCAAGTAATCTGATCCTCTTAGTCATTAAGTTGTTGTGAATGTACTAGGTCCCATAATTTCATAAACTCAGCCATCTGCTGAACGGTGTCCATCCTCCACAGCCCCCTCGTCCAGCTTTGGTTGATTAGTTCATCCTTCATTGTTTTGTTTTTCCTCCAGGCCAAGGTGAACACAGATTAGGCGCTATGTCAATGGGAGCTTGACCATCAAGCCACGACGAATGCCAGAACAAGGCTTTTTCCCTCCTGCCCACCGTTGCCACTGTTGATGCCCGGAAAAGCGCTCTGTTCGCTGAATTACAGGGAGCAGCAGTCCCTGCCGCAGGCCTCTCTGGATTCGCCCACTCTTGCCAAAGCCATCTGAGCCGTAACGCCCGGCTGAACCTTTCCAGATCAAGTATGCCAAGCCCACCAAGTATTTTTGGTCTAGTTGCTTTCGGCCACTGAACCAGACAATGGCCCCCATTTGCCGAAGCTGCTCCCTTCCAGAGAAACGATCGGCCGATTCTATCAATCTTCCTTATTGCCCACTTTTTTAAAGCAAATACTGTAAGAAAGTGCACTGGCATAGAAGTTAGCACGGAGTTAACCAGAGTCAAACGGCCGAAACGGTCCAAAAGGTTCACCTTCCAGGCCGGGAGCTTGGAGGCGATCCTATCAATCAGAGGCTGCACATCAATTTTTCTCAGAGCTCTGATGTGCAGCAGCAATCCCAAACATTTGCAAGGAAAAGCTTTGACTTCACATGGAATGACGTCGATCAGCCCATCCATTTGCGCTGCATTACAAGCCACAGGGTAGATTGCACACTTAGAGAAATTTGTGACAAGACCGGAAGCCTGTGCAAAAGCCGCTAAGATTTGCATTGCCCCCAGGATCTCATGTCTATTCGGATTAAAAGTTTGAAAACTTTGATTGAGGCATATATTTAATATCAAACAGAATTCCTAAACTTTTCAGTAAACTGAAAAGCTTTCAAAGCTTTTTCAATAACAAAACTGGCTGGTATATATCTGGAATACTCAATTTGGCAGTCTTTGGCGTGCTACCAGCTAGTATTTGCAGGCAAATAAATGACTATTGCAGTGATAAATTTGCTCTCCAAAAGAAATGTTCATGTAGTCAATCTATATCTAATTGTCCTTACCAAGTTAATCCATTCCTTCAAGCTTCGGTACTGTGTGCATACAGTCACAAAGGCATATACACATGCACACCGTAAGATACCAAAGCACGAAACATTTTTTTTCGTCCTCTCTTCCATGGTCTTTATGATTTGAAAACAAGACCGGCCGTACACACACAAATATACCAGAGACTCAAGTATCACCCTCAAACAATTCATGTGTACTTGTGTTTTCAAGTGTCTTGACTCTATGAAACAAGGGGTGCCCAGATTCTTTAATAGTTATTGAAGGGATGTATGTGTAATTTCACTAACAATTGCCTTTTCACGGATAGACAACATTTTAAGCAACTTTTTTTATGAACAAATAACCTTTTACAGTATCCATCAGATAAACTCATACAATTCTAAGGGAAGAGAAGAGATTTTTAACCCCGATATTTTATTCTAGCAACCGTAGTTACTTATTAAGATTAACAAATAAATTGAATGAACCATATTTAGTTAATAAAATCTTGGTAGTTGTTGATACATATTTAGTTAATAAAATCTTGGTAGTTGTGTATCTATTTCAAATTTCATCAGTTCTAGATATCATTTAAGTAAATCTGTATCAACTTTTGAAATCTGCCTAAGGAAATAGCTGTCAAGTCAGGTCTGAGCGAACTTTGGCCTTTATGAGAAGAGATCTCTATGAAAGAACGGTGAGGTTCATCTTAACCAAATTTTGTGTAGAACAAACTGAAGAGTGCTTCACCGCCAAATTCTCAATTTTTAGTGTTTTTTTTTCTGAGGGTTTTTACAAATCCGAAGTGGAGAATGGTCTGCCGGACTAAAGACGAAGTGGCTTAAGAATGTTTACCTTTCTACTTCGATTCTTCCCTTAGATTTTTCTGCTTTGTTGTTTTGGCGTTTTATGTGCATGCTAACCATTAGCAAGCATATATGATCAGCCTTACATAGGTTGCAATGTGGGGTAGCAGCGATCAGTATAGAGATGTTTTTAGTGAAAATTACAAAGTGTCTATACGGGAATTATATGTTTTAGCGGCTAGTATAGCACCTGTTCTCTTTTCATATAACTGGATTTGCATTTTAGCCAATGAATCAAATTCGGTTGAAAAAACTTTAGTTGAGTCAAATTCAGATGTTGTAAACAGACTCCAACGACTCTCAAATTTTTAGTTATCTCTAGGCCCCGTTCGGTTTGCTGAAACTTGGCTGAAACTGGCTGAAAAACACTGTTCTGACTGAATTGTTGTGAGAGAAAAACACTGTTCCGGCTGAAAAGATAAGCCGAACAAGCCGGTTTCTGGGTAAGCCGAACGGGGCCTAGAGATTACCTAAAAGTTACACAAAACTGAATGTAATAAAGTACTAGTAATTTAAGTACTATAAACTAACTGAAAATAATGTTAACAGAAATTCAAGCAAAAGGATGTTCTAAAATTGAACACATGTTTTTTGTTACTTCATATATCTATCACTCTCCTAAGCACAAATCTTAATACAAATATAAAGCACTAAATTTTAGGCAACGAAGCCCCCTCTAAGAGCAAGTATAATAATAGGTTATAATCTAGCTAAATGCTGAGGTGGAGGAGAGATGACAGGAGAGAGAGGAGAAGCGGGTCGTAAGCTTACAACTGGCTTAGGCACAAGAACCAAGAACTTTATGAGAGAGACAAATGAGTCATGTATTAACAGTGAAGAGCTAACTCTTATATGAGTAAACTGAGAGAGAAGGCTGCAAAGAACCTTACGGCCAGCGTCCGGTTGTAATTATTAGCCTGCTCTAAACCACTCTGGTGGGAGTTAATTAGCAATTCCTCAAAAACTAACAGCCTGTTCGGGAGGCCGTATCGTATCGTGGATTATTTACTGTTGGCTGGTTTGGTGTGAGAGAAAAACACTGTTCCCGACTGGAAATTTACGATCGTTTACGAGCAAGCGAACAGGCTGGGTTGGGCTCTTATTCAAACCACTGCTGCCCTGCAAACTGTAGTAGCCTTGTTGATTTTCACCATGGCAATGAAGCGATGAGGACACAACAAAAAGGTGATTGTGGACAGATACTACGACTTTCAATCAAGGAGCGAACAGCTACAAATTGTGTTTCATCAGTAGCTTCAAATCGTCTAGAAACTGACACTCCATTATTACAAACTTGATAACGACACACCTGATCACTCGCCGGATCGACGATTTACCAACAACGACGACTAACAAATCAATTTATTGGTATGTAGCACCACCGATCAGCCAACATACGGCGGCACAAACATACATGGTAGAGTGATCAGACTCGGCATGGGACACACAGTTCACAGAGGAGGCATGTAGCGCTGCACCCACATATCGCCGTTGTTGACCCTGAAGAACGCCGCGGTCTCCTGGAACATCGCCTCGTCCCTCTGCTGGGTGCTCCTGAACACAATGACACAGTGCTTTGGCCCCTGCCCCGCACCTGGCCGCTCTGTGTCGATGCGCTCGATGCAGGGCCCGAACATAAGACGCCTGCACAATACGTGCATGAAATTAATCCTAGCAGTTCAGGAATCAAATTGTGCACACATATACATATGTCAGCAACAAGAGCAGATTGCTCCTGGTAACCAACAATGTTTTGTATTGGTGGTTGTCAAAACACATTTCTAACTAGATTCACACGTACCTCTCAAAATACTCCAGGATATCTTGTGAGCTTAGAGGGTCGTACTCGGGGACGGCGACAAACGCTGTTCGGCAGTCTTCGGGTGGCAAACTTGTGAGGACGATGAACGGCGCCATCAGTTCTGGAGCGGGCAGTGGTGTGGGGATCAAGAACGAGTTGGAATCGTCTTTGAACCGGCGTAGCATCGCATGCAGGTAGTCATCGAATATGAGCGCCGCAAAGGTGTCCCGGATGAAGGCAACACCACGCGCAACGATGTCCTTGTGGAACATGAAGAACCTCGCGTCGACAAGCCTACCCCCACGCACGCCGCAGAGGGTCACGATGGTTGGGATGTCCGCGAGGGGTGCCGGCTGCTCGTAGCCGCCATGGAGAACGTAGTTGTACACGGCGCACGCTTTTATGATGACCTGCGGGAGCGACATGTCGCCAGGCGCCATGGTCGCCACGCTGCCAAGGACCTGGAACCCCATGGTCATCTCTAACCAGAGGAGGAGGCAGATCACCTTCTTGACAACATCCCGCCCAGTCGACTCAAAAAGAACACGCTGGTAAGCCCTGCGAGCAGTCTGGTTGGCTTCAAGGACTTGCCACACTAGAAAAACCATGGTACACCTGATGGCTGAGAGATCTAGAGAGAAATGAGAGAGTGGAGGATGAGAGAGAGAGAGAGAGAGAGAGGTGAGAGAAGGATGCTATGCTTGGTGTGGGAGAGGAGGCTGCTGGGGTTGTCCACATATATAGAAAGGTTACAGCTAACAGTGCGTGAATCAGCAAGCGTTGGCAAACAAAGCTAACAAGTTGACAGGTTGGGGTAGACCTGGAGAGAGAGAGAGAGAGAGGGGGGGTTGCGCAGGAACATCACGCAATGCAGTTACATTTTTGTACTGGTGTTACTACCTTCCAAAATCTCAGTAAATGGTATGACACCAGTACAAAAATCTCATAGTGAGATTGCTTCACTTTGAGCTTATCATTGTGGACTGCAGATCCTTATTCACATCATCACTAGTGTGACAAATAACTGTTGCGGTGAATTGTTAAGAAGTGTCTAACGTTTGATATTTGAAATAAACTCCGCTCGATTTCAATTCATGGTTGAAAACTTTCCTCCATCTTGTCGCGGTGGCTTTGGCGATGTTCTTGACTTGCCTATTAACGCATTTGTATTTGTTGTTACATGTTGACAAAGGCAATATATCCGTAAAAATACCGGTAATGTGTACGGTCAACATACCGATAACTTTTATCTTAACCAATTTGAAAAATACCGGTAATGTGTACGGTCACCGTACCGATAATTTTTGTCGTATCCAATGCGCTAGGTAGCTACAAACTTATGTTATCACTAGAGAAACTAGTTGTACTCCCGGTTCTCAACCCCTTTCAGTCCCGGTTTTGGAACCGGGAGCACGAATTCGGGACTAAAGGGCCCCTCCTTTAGTCCCGGTCCACCTTTAGTCCCGGTTGATAATACCAACCGGGGTTAAAGAGGTCTCCCGGTCCACCTTTAGTTTCGGTTGGTATTACTAATCGGGATTAAAGATTTCTTTTTTTTTTTTTTTTGTTTCCATTTTCAATTGATGAATCGTTTTGGTTTTCAAATAGGTTTTTGAATACGCATTCTACGCTGCTAATAATATACGTATTCCACACATTTATAATGTTCGAACATTTTATACAAACTAAAGTATAAAACTAACGTATATATTACATGCATATATATATATATATATATTGTACGTTATTTTATGTACATATAATATATATATATATATTACAAATAAAGCTTGCATTGTATATTCTATCATATCTTTGGGATAACAAATTCACTCCATCTGGTTTGGCTTCCATGTTTCGTTCACGTCATTGTAGAACTCGCCGGCGGGGTTTAGGACCTGGTCATTAAGAAATCCTACTATGGTCTCTTGAATTGCTTTCAGTTGATCACGTCGTATGACTTTTTTCTTTAACTATAGAGTCTTCAATAAAAGTTAAAGGAAAAGTATTATATATATATATATGTGTGTTGGTCACGTGATTACTTATATATATATGAGCAATAAAAGAAAATATGAATATATTTATATAACGTACTTTGAGGTTCTCTTCAGGAGTTCTTTTTGAGTACGCCATGATGAACTCGCAAACATAGTATCCGCAGTAGTTGTTTTCATGTTCTTGCCTCAGAACCCACTTTTACGAGAAAAAAAATCCGGTGAATTGAAAGCATGCATGGTGTTAATTGAATATATATATATATATATATATATAAATGTAGCTAGTACTTACTTTGTGTGCGATTACATCCAGTGGCGCTTTGCAATGTTTCATGTGGTGTTCCTCAATGAAACTTTTCCAAACACTGCGCCCAATAAAATAACAAATTAATTTGGCCTTTAATAATTGTTGCAGTTAAGATATCGGGGTATATATAGTTGCTAGAGAGACCAAATTACCCTTGGATAATATCTATCATGTCTTGGTACTCTGTTTGCTCTTTTCTTAACGAGTCTAAGATGCTCAACCGACTATTGGTCATATTGATGACCATCAATAGCCATTGATTGTTGCATATGTTTTTATACACAAATATGATCGACATTAACTAGAGTCAACATATATATATGGGAGATAAATTAGCTAGTAAGCAAATAATTGAACAAATGTCCATATGATCGACATTAATTATTTAACACTCACTTGAAGTTGTAGGGGAAGAGTATGTCCTTATTTTGTTGGTTCACTAAGAACCTCATGAGATTTTTCTCGAGTTCAGCTTTCCATTGAGGCGGGGATTAGGGTGTTTGAATATGACATTTGGATCAACGAAACCAACATCATTATCCTTTCTCTTTCTGAGTTCTATCATCTCATATCTGTATATATAAAAATATAGTGTGAGGATATATAATTTATATATATACATGTAGCTTTATATATATACACTTTAATAGTAGAAAATAATCACACTTATAGACAATAGCAGCTAATGAGACTTTTGTCGAGAGAGTCCAGGTGGCATTGTTGGTGTAATTCTAAAAACTCGACATATATAACGTCATCGCCATGGAAGTAATGTTGGTTTCTAACTCTGACAGAAACAAAGTTCTCTCCCCGTTCATACGCCGCTATGTACCACTTATTTAGCAGGTACATTTGCGTACCTAGTTCACCTAAGGCCTCGGGGTTGTATAGACTCTTTCCATGTTCAGATTTCTTCCAAAGATCCACTTTCGGAGCAGATGGTCCTTCAGCGAGCACTTGGGCAAGGTCCAAACCGGTATCCCCATAAAACCGAACCATTTCCTCAAAATCGATGTCCGGTAAGTCTAAGTTTGAACCATATTCATTACGAATGACAAGAGGGGGACTGATTGTTGCGATTGTTGTTCGAGTTGTGCAACACCTTTCCCTGCTCTAGTCTTTTTCTGCGCCGCCTCAAATGACTTGGTGAGAGAGCGGCCGTAGTCCGATTTTGGCCGGGTCTTTTGAGATTCCCGCTTTTTCTGGTCCACCTTCTTTCTTAGAAGATCTAGAGCTAGGTAGAAGTACAGTTTTTTCGGGTTCTCCCTCGCTTCTCGTTGCTTTCTTACTTTTTTGAAGAAACTTTTCACATCTTTTTGTATTGCATCCTTTAATTCCTTTTCACTTTTCTCGTAAAAGCGGTTTTTTGGGAATAAGCTGGATTAGAGGAGGCTTTTTCTTCTTTGAAATTTGGTGGGCCAAGCGGCTTCGTTTTTGTGGCGGACCTCTTAGGAGCTGGCTGTTTCTTGATCATCAAGGGAGGCGGGACAGCCGTTGGAGACCTCCTTGGAGCCATTGGAGACCTCCTTGGAGGTGGCGGTGGTGGAGACCTCCTTGTAGGCGTTGGAGACCTCCTTGGAGGTGGCGGCGGTGGCGGCGTTGCATAATCAATGCCCGGAGCACTATGATGATCTGGAGATTGAATAATTGGACTTAGGTTAGCGGAGGCCTTGTTGTGTGAGTACAAAAAAGAATAATTAGGTATAAGAAATATTGTTATTATTAATCATGCATGTCAATAGAAAATTAGTGAAAAAATTGTTTCGTTCACTTTTGTCCGCACCTATTATCTGGCATTTGAGGAAGCGGCGGTGGACTAGAGACCCCGGGAGGAATTCTCTATCGATTGCTCTCCACTGGGACCCATCAGCAGGGTGTCTCAACATATTGTCTACCTTACGGTCTTCTTTGTGCCATCGCAATTACTTTGCATGGTCTTTGTTTCTGAACAGACGTTTCAAGCATGGTATTATAGGAGCATACCACATAATCTTGGCAGAGATTTTCTTCATGGGACGTTCGCCCTCAACACCACCAGGGTCATCTCGCCTGATCTTATACTGCAATGCATGACATACCGGGCATGCATCTAACTTCTCGTACTCCTCGTCACGGTAGAAGATGCAGTCATTAGGACATGCATGTATCTTCTGGATTTCTAATCCCAAAGGGTAGACTACCTGTTTTGCTTCGTACGTAGTGACGGGCAATTCGTTATCCTTCGGAAGCATCTTCTTTTGGATTTTCAGTAACTCCCCAAATCCCTTGTCAGATACACCATTCTTTGCCTTCCATTGCAGCAATTCCAGTGTGGTACTCAACTTTTTCTATCCCGCATCACAAGTTGGGTATAGCAATTTGTTGTGATCCTCTAGCATGCGCTCAAACTTGATCTTCTCCTTTTCACTTTCGCATTCTCTTTGTGCGTCACGAATGGCCTGACCAAGATCATCAGCGAGCTCATCTTCTGCCACTACCTCTTCTTCAGCTTCCCCCATTGCAGTATCATTGAAGGCACCATATTCAGCAATAATGTCATCATCGTCCCATTGTTCTTCTTCACCTTCTTCCATTACAACCCTGGTTTCTCCGTGCTTCATCCAACAAATATAGTTTGGCATGAAACCCGACTTCAACAAGTGTGAATGAAGACTCCTTGAGCTAGCATATTCCTTCAAATTCTTACATATGGCACATGGGCAGCACATGAAACCATCGCGTTTGTTTGCCTCGGCCACACGTAAGAAAGAATGCACGCCCTCAATGAACTCTTGGGAGCGGCGATCAGCATTGTACATCCAATGCCGGCTCATCTGCATTACATGACATACATACCATATTAAAACCTAAAACATAATTAGTTAATTATACGACATGCATGCCACCACACAAGGTATTAATTTATGAAAGTCTTGCTACAATGTAGACAATCCCAACTATCACTAAAAAACTAAAGCTAAAATGCACTTCAGCAGCATAAGGATTTCGCGACCAATCTCAACTAAAACAGACAGATCATGCGTTTGTTCAACATCTATGGGCTTCTTCCGCAGGATCACTGCCTCATCAGCCGCCGTAGCCGCCTATGCAGGAGAGTTTTGCACATGTTCAACATACTCTTCCTCCCAGTACCAACCTGAACATCCAGTGCCATCCCACTGAAATTAAAACAAAAAAATAGAACTTTAATCACAATCATCATAAAAATAAGTATAAATTAACCATAATCATCAAATGCGACAAAATAACTCACATTGCAATCTGGACACTTGTAGAAGATACGGCTCTTGTTGGGACACTC